ATCCATATAGCAATGTTCGTTCCTAAAAGTTCAAGGAAATCTTGGAGCGGTTTTGTTATTCTTTCCCCTCCTCTTTCCTTTTTTAGTTTGTTTCTTAGTATAATTTGTGAACTTGAAAAATAGATTTGTGAGCTTGAAAGGGTAAAATAGGGGAAAAGTGAAAAAGTTAAAATTATTATCTTACACGACTCTAGAATTAGGCATGTACTAATAAGGCCCTAGTAATTAAGAAGAGTAATATATAGGAATCAAATTTCATTAAATGAAAAATCTAAAGGAGAAGTAATAGAATTTCTTACTAAGCGATGAATGTTGTTTTGTAGCATGCATAAGCCAAGGAAGGGAATGTCTGCGAAGCAAATCAAATTATATTACGCAACCTTTTTCATCGTAATTCTTACAATTTTTGTATCACATTGCAAATATGAACATTGCTGGTTGCTCACTTGTACATCAAAGGGCTCCACCCCAAGTAGATAAGAATGTACCAAACCGAGACGAAACTAGTACCCTAAGTTGGTCTCTAATCAAAGTCATGTAATAGTTGGCAATAATCACTGCTAAGATGCTTGTATTAATCAAATAAGTGAAATTAGTTCGGTACAATGAAGTCTAAATTATATTTAATTCTTCACTCCCAGCTCTCTCAAATTCTTTACCTTTTATCTGCATCTTACCATTCTGTTGCAACTAAATATGTCACCTCAGCACCAAGGTCGTAACATTACCTCCTCCATTAAAATTGACCTTGTCCTCAAGGTCAAAAGTAGTATAGTAACGCATCTTGTTTTTTATACTTTCAAACATCATTTTAAAGCAAAGCTTGCTCAATCCCACTATTCATGAAGACTAAGGAAATAATGGGTCTTGTTGGTAAAATCCATTCAATTCCTTCAATATCCTTGATCGACAAGAATGCAAGTGCCAACAAGGAACAATACATCAGAAAGAACAACGCAAGCAAATCCATATGCAACAAATTGAGCTCAATTGTTAAACCAACTATACGTTCACGTTGCCTTAATTAGTATTATAGATCCAAACTGTTATCTAAACTGCATATTGTGTTGATGTTCCTTTATTATCTTCCACTTTCATTGCTTATAAGTCACAGAAAAAATTGTCATATATAGTAAGAACAGCAGTCGAAAGTGCTATAAAAGCACCTACAACATATCAACATAGTGAACCAATTCCATGCACAACTAGTGAAATATGCAAGGGCACATAGCTAGCAACAATCAATGACCCATTAATAAGGACAGGGAGCTTGTTAAACCAGAAACTCCCTACATATGTACCACACTCATAATTGGATCATAAGTAGCTCCATAATAAGCAAAGCCTGCATAGTTCAGTCCATATTCAATAAGTACTCCATTTATTAGGCAGTGTTTAGTTGCGCGATAAAAATAGAGACACAGAAATACACATATCATATTTGGCTAGTGTCTCATGGAAGAAACAAAGACACAAAAAACACAAGAGACACAAATTCGACGGACACAATATACTTTCTGAAAAAAAGAACACAAAAAAGAACACTAACAATAACCAAACGCTGCCTAGATCCAATTGTGACCTCCAACCACCAAGTAATGCTAGATTAGCTATTAAGCTCCTACCCCAAGTAAATTTGACTTATTTCCTTCCCATAAATGTCTTTTTTTTGAATAATTATTACTAAAATATAAACATACACGATACTTGTATTAATCAAACAAGTCAGATTAGTTTGGTACAATAGTGTTATGAACACAAGAAATGAATAGTCTAAATTAATTACACTTAATTCTTCCCTCCCAGCCCTCTTTTTCCATAACTAAAAACGAATATGATTCCTCTTCTTGTGGACATGGACTTTAACAATCATTATTGGGTCTCAAACTTCTCAACTCTCAAGAGATTACGAGCTCTTTGCAAAATAAACTCTTTATGATCTTCACGTATTCCTCTTTTATTTTATAAAAGAAAAATAAAATCAATTTTAAATTAATAATAATAAAATTTTATTAAAAATTATTTATAAACTATCTAACACAGGAATCTAACTAACAAAAGGTTATCTTAGCTTCAGATTCTCGAATTCGAGTCCTCTGATAGAAAATACCTATATCTAGATAAAAAAATATTTATAGTATTTTTATAATTTTAATATAATAAATATGTATTTTTCATAAAACATCCTATTAATACATATGTATTCACTTTTAAAAAGTTAAATTTAATATTTTTAATGCGTATATTTATAAGTGCGTGTTAAAAAGGAACAAATTTAATAATTTATTAAGACATAAAAAGAAAAAATAATATTTTTTAAATAATTTAAAGTATTAATAGAAGATATTTTATCTTTTCATAGTATATACACATTAATAAAACTGTTCATGAACATCGTGTTGCAGTATTTTCGAAACCCAGTGTAAAGCCATTTAAGTCTATACATGTCCTGCGTTGGAATGTCAGTTACATTACAATCCCAAGGGGGTCACATGAAACACGTTGCTTTGACCGACGTATGAAATCAAAAGTCAAGAAAAGTGGAGTGCCATGGATTTTTGAATTATTTTATAATCCCGTTATTTTTTTATTGATTTAAATATAATTTTAATTCTTATGATTTATTTTAATTTTGATTTTAGTTTCTATACTTTTGAATTTTTTTATTTTTACAGTTTTAAAAATTTAAAGTGCTGATTTTTATTATTTTATTTTATTTTGTTTATTTTGTTTTTTTAGAGTATTAGACATTAGACTAAATAGTTGTATTTTGGAAAGTACAGTTTTTGATATATTGTTGATAACGAGACTAAAACTGAAATATCTAAAAGATATACGGATTAAAAATTAAGAATTTTTAAATATCAAATTTAATAACAAAATTGATGTAAATCATAAACATTAAAATTATATTTAAACATTTTTATTTGTTATTTAAAAAATATAAAAAAGTGATAGATAAAAAATTAAAATGAAAAATAAAAAATCAACAAAATTCACAAAGTTTCTTTTAACCTTACGAAAAATTTAGAAAAATGACAAGTCTTTAACATTATAATGAATTTTATTGCAATTATTTACGTAATCTAAGTCATACGTTTTTTATTTTTTTCTTTACAAAGGGCACCAATATTCATCTTAATTCTTATGACTACTTATTAAATATTATATTTGTTTTTATCACACTTTTATTTTCCGATTATGTTACTATCATTTTTTTTTACTATTAAATAGGGCTCAAAACCCAAAGAAAAACAAAACAACTAACCATTATTGAAAAAATACTCCATACTTATCTTCATTTTAACAACTTTACATTCATCAAAATTTACGATTACTAAATATGATAAATATTAACTAGTTTTTATAAGATTAGATTAAATCTTTAATTTCAGAAATAAGAGGTAACGGATAACGGGGTTATCAAGTTTAGCAGTTTGAGATGGGTTCACACGGGTAACATTGAAGCCAACATGTAAATAATCGAAATAAAAATAGATCTATACATTAAAGCCACCATGGCTCACACAAACGCAAAAATCAGAGGGCACCTAGTCCCCTACATGATTGCATCGAGAAGGGCTTGGTACATTGTTTTGTAAGCTCTATGTAGCATTTTGGAAACTTCAACTTCAACCACAACCACGACACGTACACAGTTTTGGTTGAGTTTAAACATTGAGAAAAGCATTTTGACAAATCCGAGCCCAATCAACTTTAACCGCACTCACCTTATTTCCTCAACCCATTTTAGATCTAATTAGAATTGTCAAAAGTTGATTGGTCTTGGTTAGACTTTGGTATGCTCACCCCTAATATTTATACTAAAACATGGGGAAGGAAAAAAAAAAAAAATTTCCTTTTCTTTTATAGTTTCGGTTGAACCTAATTAATTCATGTACTCATGCTAAAAAATAATTTCAAATAATCTCTACAATATTACATAAGCCCTAACTATTTAATAGTTTCACTCTATACTTGCACCTAACCTTTTTCCTGTCCAGTCTTTATGTACAAATAATTTGAATTTTTTTATTTAATTCAACAAATAATTAAATTCACTTTGAGGTGTTTGTGAACAAAAAAATTATTTGATTTGATAAAATTGTAGTAATTTAATTTAAATTAATTTAAAAAAAATAATATAATCCGATCCAATTGAAAGCGGTATAAATTAGTTTGGATAATTTATTTTTTACAATTTTTATAATTTTTTAAAAATAACCAATAAATTATTTTATTATTTATTTTATACTATTTTTAAAATAAATTTAATTATCAATATGAAATGTAAAATATATATTAAAAATATGATATACAAAAATAATTTTAGATTATTTTAAAAAATATATATTTATATAATCATAAAAATAATAAAATACATTCCTAAGAAGTAATAATAGTATAATTTTAAAAATAAATCATAAAAAAAGTTAAATATTATAATTTTATTTATATAATTTTAAAAGTAGGATTGAGATATTAATTTTATAAATTATTTAAATTCAATCAATTCATTAAAAAAGTTTCAATTTTGGCTGTTTTCTATTTATTGGATTTTCAGTTAATTTGGTTTTTTATTTTTCGAATCGATTTTTTCGGTTTAGCTTTCGTAATTAACTCACTGTTGTTTGGGAAATCGATTCATACAATTATGAAAGGAAACACCAGGCCAAGGGGGGGACAATAACAACAGAGACCCAAATGCAGCAATCAAAGAAATCAACTTGCCCCATTTCTTGAACCGACTCAAGTTCACCTAAAAGAAGAAACTCACGTCGCATTTAAAATTAATCAGACTGGACCTCCGGTAAAAATCTTGAATTCTTTTTAAAATAGAATATAAGGTAATGACAAAGTTATTTTCTTTACCCTGTGGGGCCATGAATGAGAATAGAGGTATCGCTCACTCTCTGAGCGGCGCGTGCAATCACAGTGTGCCTTTTCACTGTGTGATACTTATTCAATCTAAATGACGGTGCACGCATCAGTGCATCAGCATATCATCATTGCCATCAGGTGCTACTGCATTCTAGTGCCTTCTTTCACCCTTCCTCTCTCCAAATTCATGCATTTCTTTTGTTTTTTAAAATCCTTATTGCATTTCAATTACATTCACCACTCTTCAAATGCAATTGCCTTTGTTATCATTCGCTCTCGTTATGGTTGTGTTATTACTGTATTATTATAGTATGCATCATTATAATTACAACAAATAAATGCCATTGTTGGGAATGTTCTGTTCCATTCGCATTCTGTACTCGACCTTTTGTTGCTCGTTCTGTCATTTTCTTTTCTTGGCAAGATGATATTTATTTCTAGAATTCTTTATGTACCTGGGATTTGCTCCTTTTTAGGTAAATTTGTTCCTTGATTGTTCCAATATTAGGGGGGATGGAACAAAACGATTGTATGACTACAGAGAAAGTGGTGTAGTTAGTGACCCAGATGAAAAAAAAAAAAATCAATATAATGAATGAGAATTTGATTGTTAATGAAAGATATATCCAATTTTTTGAGTTATTTTATTTTAGTTTTTTAGGGGTGTATGACATTTTAGGAATTGGAAATGAAACTTGCACCTCAATGTTTGTGCTATTTCCATCAGATGGTCTCTGGAATTAAATCCAATATTCACGTTAACATTGAATTGATCGAATGTTTTGGCTTTCGGTTAATGAATTTAATAAATTGGTATGATTGATATGAATTAGAACTTTTGAAACTGGATGCATTTTATTTAAATTAAGTCATCCATCACTTTATTTATTGTCTACCTTTTTGAAATCTCTGGAAGCTGTTTTGTGGCCATTGCACAGGTGATTAATTCTTGTTCTTTGAAATAACAGTAATCACAGCCCTGCCACAGGGGGCGAAAATTGAAATCATGGCTGATCATCTTGCTGATCCATTTCCAAAGTTGGGAAGTGTTTATAGAGCATCTGGTTCCAAAACCAATCACTTGAGCCGGAATGGAGCGAACCCAAAACTGAATTCTAAGCAAACTGGTGACACGGGGGTGAAGTCAAGGCATGTACAGGACATGTCTGCTGGCAGTGCCCCAAGACCCCGGTGTTCTCAAAATTCTAGTTCAAATGCATGGGGAGATCCAAATGTGATTCATATGATGAAAAAGTGGGGTAATGGGGGATCAGGAGTGGCTAACAGCAATAACCTACAGGACCAAAGCAATTCTTCAAAGGGTCTGGCTTGGAGGGGAAATGGAATTTTGAATGACAGCAAGTTGCCTCCTCAGTCAGTAATATCTCTCGCGTTAGAGAAAGGAGTATATTCATCTGTTGGAGTCGATACAACTAAATCCAAGGATTGCAAAAATGATCAATGCAAGGATGAAATAATCCCAGAACCCCATTGTGAAAACAATGATGCTGAGGTCGTTGACAGTGAATCTGATATTGTGTTTGATAGTGAAGATGAGGTTTCTTTAGATGACAGTGACTCAGATACCGGAGAGAAAAGCCATGAAAGGAGCAAGAAGAGCAAGTGGCTCAGGAATTTCTTTGATAAATTAAATGTACTAACCATTGAGGAGATAAATTCACAAGAGAGGCAGTGGCATTGCCCAGCATGCAAAGGGGGTCCCGGTGCTATTGATTGGTACAAAGGGCTGCAGCCACTTTTGAATCATTCCAGAACAATACAAGCAAGGAGGGCAAGACTACACCGGATGTTTGCTGAAACTTTGGAGGAAGAGTGCTTCAGGAGAAAAGCTCCATTGACAATGGTTAGTGAAGTCCATGATGGATGGGAGGGTCTTGATAAGAAAGTCAAGGATCATGAAATAGTTTGGCCCCCGATGGTAATCATCATGAATACACGATCTGAGCAGGATGAAAACAGCAAGGTAAAATATTAAATCAAATATGCAGCCAGTTGCTGTAGTTCTTCTATTCTTTTATGCTATACACCACTATACTTTTACATCAGTGAATTCAATTGTAGTGGACTGGAATGGGGAACCAAGAACTCCTTGATTGCTTCAGCGATTATGCTGCACTAAAGGCTCGGCACTCGTATGGTCCACAAGGGCACCGGGGGATCGGTGTTTTAATTTTTGAGGAATCAACGGCAGGTTATTTAGAAGCCATGCGACTCCACAAGCATTTTAAAGAGCAGGGAAGAGATAGGGAAGCTTGGTATCGTTGTCAGCATCCATTTGTCCCAGGTGGGAAGCGCCAACTTTATGGTTACTTTGCTTCGAAAGAAGATTTGGATATTTTCAACAGGCACTCTGGAGGTCTTTTTTCCTCTCTTAATCAGATTTCTTTTTTTATTTATTGTATGCCAGCCTAGTATGGTTGTTGCTTGACTGAAATTATTCATGGTGAACTTGAAGATAGCAATTCTAAATTTCTTATATAGTCTACATATTTTTTCCATATTCTCTCAGAGAGGGTATTTGATGTTATTTTTGTGTTTATTTTTTCTTCCTTTGGTCATTTGTTTTTCTTCATTCAATTCTGTTCAATATTTTAAGTAGATGTTGCTGATACATCTATATTGTTTAGGAAAGTTGAAATTGAAGTTTGCAATGAGATCATATCAGGAGATGGTTGAGAGCAAGATAAAGCATATTAATGATGATAGTCAACAGCTTGACTATTTTAAGAGCTTATTTGCTAAGGAACAAATGAAATCACAAGTCTATGCAGAATCTTTAAATAAAATAAGTGAGAAGTTACACCTCACAACAGAAGAAAACCGTGTTGTGAGAGAACGAATTGAAGAACAGCATCAAAAGCACAAAGAGGAGGTAATGTTATGAAACTAAAATTGGATTAATATTATTCTTGTGGTGGTCATTGAGTTGCCAAAGAAGATGTATTGATTGTTATCATATAATTAAGAACCTTTATGCATAAAGTTGGTGAAAATGCTGTGTCTTTCGCCTTTTTTCACACTATCAGTTTTTTTGGTGGCTGCTTGTGCATTTATTTAATACAGGATAAAGACATAATATCTTTTTGTTATATAACAAGAATTTGTTATAATTTAAACTGTACATGTTTGTCTGTTAGTTTTGATAGGCTTAATCTTTAGCAGTTAGTTATACGAAATGTGTATATAAACCCATGTACACGGAAGAAATTTTATGAATTTGCAACTTAATTGTCTTTCTTGATTCTGGTAATAGCTTTCTGAATGATAATGCAATAAATCCTTCTACGGCTGATCATTTTGATATACTGTTCTCTAGTAGATGGATGCTCAAGAAAATTTTTTCCAGGATCAAATGCAAGTCATTCAACAAGCTATAGCTGCAAAGGAAGACAAGTTTGCGAAATTGCAGCAGGCAAAGCGAGAAAAAGTTGGAGAATCTTCTGAGAAAGAGGACGACAAGTATATCTAATATTCCCCCTTAATGTGCATTATTCTAAGCATGTTTCAGAGTATATGTTTTATATTATCAATCTTTTACTACATATATCTTAACTTTCTGTTGCCATTATCATTCTTTACTTTTCATACCAAGTGATCAGCGAGCAAGATTGAGTTCTTGATCTTTCTGAAGCAAAACCCATGGCTTTTGCATTCTCTAATCTATCTTCTATCGTCAGGGTAGAGAATATCTCTCGTTTTGTATGTCCCAAAGACGAGATGAGGCAATTCGAGGCAAAGAGAGCTAATATCATAAAATTTCACCAAGAAAAAATGTTGGCTCTGAAGAAGAAGCAGTGGCAGGAGCAGGTTGAACTTGAGAAGGAGTTTGAAAATGAATTGACCCAGCTCATGGACACCTACACTCCTGGGCAGTCTCAAGAAGAGAGTTGTCAATAATAAATGGTGGCTAGGTAGAAAACATACAGAGAAGTGGCTAAAGGCAAAAACATCTACAGGGAAGTTCAGAGTACATGTTCTGCAACATTTTCCCTGAATTTACTTTCTTTTTTTTGGTTTACCAAAATTTTACTTGAAAGTTGAAAAGTGAGAGACTTGAAAAAGCCCCATCATCACCAAAGTTTTGTTCCCATGTTTACTGATTCTTGATATAGTTTTTGGTTCTTGATATATTTGTTACAGTCTGCTTGCAAAGGGCTACCAACATAACTTTTGTGCTGATTGAAGTTACTATCTTACCATTGGGTATTTTGCTTGTATTTCCAAAATTTTAAGTGAAATTATTCTCATATTAACTAAATAACGATTAATAAAAAAAATTGTGTGAAAAATCATTTAAATAAAGTATTTGTGAAACGAGTTTTTGACTTAGTTGCTCTAATCTTATTTTTTTCCTTAACATTTTGATTTGATTTAGTAGTTATCTGTTACAATAAACCGTTATTCCTTTCTTCTGCCTCTTCTTTCTCATCTCTTCTTTATTATTATATGTTTTCTCTCTTCTCTTCCGCCTTCTTCCTTTGCTCCTTTTTCTAAGATTAGGTTAACATTGATTTTGTTCTGTTATTTGTCGTTAAGTCACTTAGATTCATGTCATAAGAGACTATATTCTAAGATTTTGATACAATATTAAAAAATTATAGCATGAGTGAATGAATATTTTCACGTTTTAACCTGCATATTAATATTTAAATGTGGAGACCATATAATATTTTTCGGACATAATATTAATAAGAGGAATCATACACCAAATAAAGAAAAAATTGACTTGAATAACGAAACTAATTCAATTTTTACTTTCCAACTTTTTAAAATAGAAAGTATTTATAAATTAAATCAATCTTAAAATATTAAATTTTTAATATATTATTCATTGTTTGCTCTTTATTTTCGTTGTCTTAAAACCAAAGCCCAATGCTAATAAGGATAAAATGTAATAATAATCAACACTATTCATTTTAAGTTCTTAAAATAAGTTTAGTTATTCTTTTAGTCGTTTAAACTGTGCATTATTTTAACGTTTAAATAACTTAGTTATAAAATGAAAGCCTAGTTCAGTTTTCTTTATTTCGATCTGATTCACGCATTATGTAAATTAATCTAGTGTTTCTTTCTAATTTATTGAATTTTGTATTTTTTTTTACTAAAACTAATCAAAACAAAAATATGAAAAATGCAATTATAAAAATTAATAATTTATTTGAAATACTTAATGTTTGGTTAACACCAATGATTAACTCATTTCACCATATCACAATTCTAATATAAAATATGTAATTAAAATAAATTTAAACTTACATTTGAATTATATTTAATAATTTAAAATTATTTATTTAGTTATTTGATGACCAAATATTCATTATTATAAAATAAAAGATAAATTATAAATTCAGTTTTTATATTTGACAGGCGTTGATAAGAATGCATTTAACATGTCTCATAAAGTTAACATTGAAACGTTAAAAGTGCTAGACAATGAGCTATGCATGTAACAGTCAGACTATTTTTTATTATAGTTGAAATCAAGACAAATCTGTATTGGAGTTTGCCTACAATGATTAAAGGTTTAATAACAACAAGATTAGATGTATAATTGCATTCAAAGGTAAATTTGACTAATTTTTACTTTCGGGATGAATTTTAGTGGACTGATGACTATTTTACTAGTTTTTTTTTTATTATTTAAAGTCAAGTGGATCATAAATAAGATTAAGTTACTTATAATGTGAATATTTTCTCTCTTATATTTAGTGTTTTTGTATTTTTTTAAAAAATTATAATAAATTAAAATATATATTTAATTTTATTTATAAATTAGTTTTTTAAATAATTATATTTTAATTCTTATATAAATATTTTTTTATGTCTTAGTTTCTTTTCTCTAATATTGTTAATGGTTGTAAACATGATTAAATTTATAATTTAATTTAAAATAAAATAATTAAAAGAATCAATAGAAAAAAACTAGGAAGAACGGAAGAAAGTGATGTGTTGTTGTTCGTAGTTTGTAACAGGGAAATGGAGAGAAGGAAGCCGAAAGCAGTTTTCATGGCCTTCGGCACTAAAGGCGATGTCTTCCCTATTGCCGTCAGTGTTTCTTCTTCTTCTTCTTCTCTTCTTTACCTCTCTCTGTTTGTTTGCCTAAAAGAGAAGAAAAGAAAGCAACTCATGCTCGCTGTTTTGTGATGATCGAGAGTAAAAAATCGAGGCCTTTTGTTCAACAGTATCTTCTGTTTTATAACATACACAACATTGGGTTGCGAGCACAAGTATTGAGATTTTGTACTGCTTAATATTAGCTAAACTTTGTTTCCCCTTATTGTATATATTGATGATTTTATGCTCTTTTTTATGTTAGTTAAAATTTTGAGCTATTATTCCTCAATATCCTGTTTATACATAGATGTGGTAGAAGATTGTGAATTGCCCTTTCTTTTTCCTTTTATAGTTTAGTTTGGTTTAAAAATGTCTGATTTGCGGAAGTTTGCATTGCAGGCCATTGCTGCAGCTTTTGCTTGTGACCAGAAACAATACGATGTGATGTTAATAACTCACTCCGCACACCAGGTTTGCATTGTAAACATTTACATCCAGTATTGTGTAAAAAAGTGTTGTGTTAGTTTTGGAATCACTCTGGGTACATTTCACTGTCTTTAGTACTGGATGGAACTTCGTTTTTCACAATACTTTAAAAGAGTAATGAATTCTCGTGGTTGCGATTACTCATTCATCATTCTAATGTTACTTGGCAGTCATGGTGCTTTGCTTAACTGTTTTGCCTGTAAGTTATCCATAAAATTTCGAGTAATGAGAAATGACTTTTTATTGATGCGACGGTGATGTTAATTTTTTATTTTTATTTTTTATTTCTACTTCTTTTTTTTTGGCTTTATTTACTGTTAGCTGACACTTGGACATAATATATACTTGCAGAGTTTAAGTCATCACTTGGCTGAAAAGCATGTTCAATATTGCCCTGTTTCATCGCCTCCAGTTCTCTGTGCTGATCAAAATAATTATACTGATGGTTTGAACTATCAATTTGGTTCTAATTATAAAATGTGGACTGCTAATTATGAGGGGATGAAATATATTACTAATGAGTCTTTGATTTTATCAGGGATAGCAGAGTCATCCTTTTTCTTGCAGAAAAGGAAAATTACAATAGATCATAGACGAGAATGCTATTCTTTATTTGAAAGGATATTTGGAGATGGCCCAAGCTTGGACGGTGATCTTATTGTGATAAATTTTTTTGCTTTGGTATTCTAAGTTGAAACTGTAGTCAAGATGGACTTTTTTTGACAAGTTTATGATATCTTTGGGGGATGAGGTTTGATTGATGCTAAGACTTGATGGCAATTGATTCTTAAAAATGTCTTGATTACTTCTTGGGAAGTGCTGAATAATTTTTATAAGACTGCGTTTGTGTTCAAGGAAACACCTAACACTACTGGAATAGAAAATAGAATCACCAATCATATTCTAGTACTAAATATGGTGGGACGGAGTTTGCAGTAAGTGTTCCTGATAGAATGTTATAATAATATTATTTTTCCATGAAATAACATTAAGTGGAATCATCTTGTGTACTTATGAAATTTCTACACTAAGATGTTAAGTGATCTGGTAAAATAGATTTTCGTGATGGTTCAGGAAGGATGGAGCCTTGCAGAGGTTTTTCATGTCCACTGCATTGTAGCTGCTCCATATGTTGTTCCCTACAGGTACTTTCAAGTTCATCCCCACGAATGATATCAAACATTTGGGAATTTGGGTACAGCTTTATACTTGTTTGGTGGCAAGCAATTACACTTCTGTAAGAGCATCAATGGTCATGAACTTCTCCTAACATTTAGAACTCAGATAGTTGAGGTTTCCTTAATAATAAAACATATAATCTTAGAAAATTAGTAAATACCCAATTGGGATTGATTGACAGAGTTATCTTGAATTATTTATTAGTTTCACCTGTTAATTTTTACTTTGATTGCAAGTGTAGGCACAAAATACACAACTCTATTCTGTTGGGAAAGAAAATTGAATTACAATGTTCAAGTGAAAAGCATTATCTCTCATTTCCTTGCCTCAAAATACAACATGCTTTCCATAAAAAATGATTGTGACGATGTGAATGTAAAATGTGTCATCAAGTTGATGATTGACTATAATGTTGGAAGGTACAACACATTTTGAATTTTCGATAATTGCATAATGGATTTTCTGTGCAGTGCACCTGCAACATTTGAAAGTCATTTCCAAAGAGAACTTCCTCTTTTGTATAAATATCTCGTTGATGCTCCTTCTGGTAAGGTATTTCCTTATTTTTATATTCTAATATGTTCAATTTATAAAGATGTTGTGTCAAGTGATTATGTTTATTTTCCCTATTTACAATTAACAAAGAAACCATGGTGTAAAATAAAAACAAAAAGTTCTATTTTCATCTGCAGCAGTTAAAGTAAGGTTGGGAACTGTTGAAACTCTAGGGTTTAGAGAGGGAAAGGGGAAAAGAAAGAATGATGGCTAATATTGATGAGTAGATACTACACACAAATACAATAACCTAATGCACCTACTTATACAACTAATTAGGTGGGCCAAGCACTAGTAAAATACCCAACTCCGCTACTAGCCAACCCTTATAACAAGAACTAATGCTTATATGTTGATTTTTCTCTTTTTAATAATCTTGATTATAGGTCTGCTGGAAGGATGTGATTCATTGGATGTGGCCTCTTTTCACAGAAAGTTGGGGATTATGGAGAAATGATGACTTGCATATTAGTCCACATCCTTTTACTGTTTGTTTCCTATACTTTTTTTGCGGCTTCTAGAAAAAAATAATTTCTATCCTAATATTCTGTGTTTCAAACAATATGCTACCTGAGTTAGATTGCTATAGTAGACATGTACCCTTGCAGAGAAGTATGGGGTACCGTCATTCTTTTGAATTCACAGCGGCACTTCTTTTTTTGGTGATTTCAGGATCCAGTAACAGGCATTCCTACTTGGCATGATAGACCACAATCTCCTCTTTTGATGTTAGTGATGGATTTTGAATGCATGAGTTTTTTTCAATACAATTTAGTTTTGATGAAATTCTTATGGGACTTACCTGATCAACTTCATATTTTCGTTTTTTTGGCATTGATGCTTGAATATTTCCAGGGTTGTTTGTGTGCTATTCTAGATCAAGATGTGTGGAATTTGGAAATGATGTATTTTAAGGCCTACAGTTAGTGAGGCTTTAAGGATTTTTTTATTTTATTTTGTATGCAAAAAAACTTTTGTTTCTCATGTGTGACTTGTAAGTTTGAGTAAGTTCAACAAAATGGCAACTGGTGTATAATATTTACATGAACTTTTGAATTGATAGGCAATACTAGTTCTGATTTTTATCACTGATTCTGTATATTGTTCAACAGGTATGGTTTTAGTAAAGAAGTTGTTGAATGTCCTGGTATGTTTTTGTGTATTTCATATAAACTTTTCTTTCACTACCCAAGTACAGGCCCTAAATATCTATTTCTGTGATGTTGCCTGTTTAGAGTTGGTGTTACTTGCTTTTGAATTAATTCTCTTCTGTGTGCATCTATATCCCTTTCTTTTATTTATCCATTTAGACATAATATTGTCCTGATATTAAACCACAAATTGGGAGAGTTTTGTATGAAGTGCTCCAATAAACACCTTTCAAATTATGTTGTCACATTCAAGTGTCTTTTGGCACCAATTGGTACCACACTGAGCAATGACTTTCTGCAATCATGGTCTGGAATCCCTAGTTATGTAGGAATCAAATTGGAAGAATAAAAATGGAGAATGTATCAAGACATTGAACATAACATGAACCATACAGCCATATAGTGTGTGTGTGTCTCTACATAAATATCTTGTAAATTTTCATTCCTATCAAGCACTCAATCAAGCAGAAATGGAACCTTAAACGAAGTTATTAAAAGAGACATTTTGATTAACTAGATTTCTGAAAATTTAGTTTTTGACTGAGTTTAATAATATTGTGTGATCCATGTGTAGTCAACCTCTCTAACCATGACTTTTCAAAAGGCTTTCTTACTAACAACAACAACAACCAAACCTTACAGTCAAGCAAAAATAAGAACGTTAAACAAAGTTATTAAAAAAGACATTTTGATTAACTAGATTTCTGAAAATTTAGTTTTTAATTAAGCTCCATGACGTCGTGTGATCCATGTAGCTGACCTCTCTTAGTGAGATAAGGCTTGGTTGTTGCTGTTGTTGTTAATAGAAAAGCCTTTTGAAAAGTCATTGTTAGTGAGGATGTATCAGTCTATTTCCCTATCCATAAATGATGTCCTAGATGTTATATTATAATGTTGGAATGCTTTTAACAAATTTTGTTTTCTTATTTGGAGCATGCTTTAGAGCCTCTATTACATTTGTTTTTAAATTTTCAGTTTCATAACCTGATTAAATTTAATGCATTGACAGCATATTGGCCATCAAAAGTGCGGGTTTGTGGGTTTTGGTTTCTCCCGCCTGAATGGCAATTTACATGTGAGAAATGCAGAGAAATTTCCGTATATTCATCAGGACATCAATATGCTATAGATGACTTATGTCCCGGTCATTTAGAGTTGCAGAACTTTATAAAAACTACACCAATTTTTATCGGATTGAGTTCTATTGGAAGGTACAACATGCTTCAATTTTGTCTTCAACCTTGTATCTTAATAGAGTTGTCAATTTAGTCATTGTAATTATGTATTTTTTCATACCTGATATTTTTCTTATTCATTTGCAGCATGGGTTTTTTGAAAGACCCTTGTGCATTTATTTCTGTTCTTCAGACTGTTCTGAACTCCACAAATTACAGATTTATTCTATTTACGGCTGGATATGAACCCTTAGAATCAACTGTTCGTACCATTGCTGCTGAAGCTTCATTTGGGCAGAAAAATTGGAGTGAAGATTGTGTCCTTCTTTGTAACGGGCGACTGCTGTGTTTTTCTGGGTGTGTTTTCTTTAGCTACTTCTCTACAATAAATTTTAAGCTAGGGTGGAAAGGGAGTTCCTTTTAATAGCAAAACTGGGATTTCTATAGTTACATCCCGCTTTCTGGGTTTTACTAATTTGAGTTTTAATTCAATTTGGATTGCTGATATAGTGTAACTTGTTACAATTGTAGTTATGATTTTGTATGATCTTATCTATTCTACTCTAATATAGAATAAAAGTTTACATTTTTTTTCTGAAATTCTTTGAAATGAAAGAAAATGATAAAAAGAATTGACATGCTTTTATATAATTTGAGTAGTTCTGTACCATATGATTGGCTTTTCCCAAAGTGTGCTGCTGTAATTCACCATGGAGGCAGGTAGGAGAATTCATATTCTGATCCCGTGGCTGTTTTGATATTATCACCAAATTGAAGCATTCATGAGGGATGCTTACTAATATATTTTTGCATGGAATGCCTATCTGTAAATAGCGGAACTACTGCAGCTGCGTTACAGTCAGGCACACCACAGGTTGGTAGTTATTCAATTCCTTGCTGTCATACATCCATTATTAGACACAGATACTTGTTGCATGATTTTTGACATCCTTGAGACAATGAACAAGGCACAAAAGAATACACGCTTTGTGCTAAAATCTGTCTGATACTTGGATATTATATGTAGTGAAGGATGACAACTGTTGAATTAGTCCAGATTTACATAGTGCTAACCGTGGATTCTTTTTACTTCGTTTTATTTTTAGTTGCATGAACATTTTCTAAGGTTGTAGTTTTGGCATTTTTACACACTAGTATACTATTTAAGGGTTGTTAGATTTACTGCGAGATGTACTTGACATGGTTGAGCAAACTTGCAGGTAGTATGCCCTTTCATGCTAGATCAGTTTTACTGGGCGGAGAGAATGTATTGGCTTGGTGTTTCGCCTGAACCACTCAATAGAAATCATTTGGTCCCTCATAAATATGATCATACAAGTGTCCAGGAAGCTGCACATGTGCTATCACTTGCAATACATGATGCATTATCATCAACAATCAAAGCACGGGCTGCAGAAATTGCCCAAAGAATATTGCTTGAGGTAATAAATATTCTTAAAATAGGTGATTTTTTGTATTTTCTTTTTTTAATTGTCTGAATCACTATTTAGAACTAAATTGCTATTTGAATAATGTGATTTTTTTAGTTATTTTATAAAATGCGGTGTATAGTTTACTAGTTAAGACATTTTATAAAGTTTGCTTTTGATTTGATCTAAAAAGTCTATGCCTAAAGGTGCTATAGCTATACATAGATTTTGTTATGCATACATGATCCTTCAACTTTCAGGATGGCGTGAAGGAGGCAATTAAGTACCTCAAGGAAGAATTGGGTTTAAATTGAGATAGTGAAGGGATTGAAATGTTGCAAGAAGAATGCACTAATTTTTTCCTTGCGATTGTATTATGTCACCATTCACCAATTCAGCTCAATATATATTTTGTCCTTTCTATTGTAATGGATCTATTATTGTATATGATCGTTCTGAAAAGATATTAAAGACTACCATTGCATTCGCACATTCAAGCGCTAACCACCAGAAGATGAAGCTTTTCTGCGCCACAATAATCAATTCTGGAGTGGGGATTTCTTCCAACGTCTTAGTTCCTAAAATTTTCAAATGATAAAAAATTAATTAAACTGTAGATTTTGAAGACTAACAGTATTTATATAATTAAGTTTGAGAAAGATTTAATATTAAATATTTATTTTAAAAAAATATATTTTATTTTAATTTCATTTTTATACAAAAAAATTTGGCTCCTTATTTTAGAAATAAACATTTCTTAAATATAATCTGAAGTGTGTATCACATGACAAGTTTGTTTAACAAAAATAGCTTTTTTTCTTGTTATGGTAGCTGAAATAGGAAATTACTAATATTTTTTTAATGTTATTTTTTTAAAAAAAACTACTCTGTAACTAATAGTTAAAAGTAATTTTTTTCATTTCTTATTTCATTATTCTTGAACAATTTCTTTTATCGCCTTGACTTTTAAGATCTTATTACCATTATTGCTTTAACATTCTATTCGTTTAAAATTATTTGACTATTAAATCACATTAAAGTGTCACTGAATCATTAAATTCTTTTTTTATAAGATAAAATCATGAAATAATAATATAAATTAATTTATATTAATTTGTTTAATAAAAATATTTTAAAATTTGAGTAAATTAAAATTTTATAATTATTTAAAAATATATAGTTATTAATTTTTTTAATTTTAGACTACAAATTAATGATGTTTTTATATATTATTTTATATCTACTGGCTAACAACTAATTTTATTAAACTTTTTAATTTAAATAAGATTGCTTTTCAACTTTCGTCTTTTAGTGTAGCTCTCTGTTAGTTTTTCCGTATTTTAAATTCTTTAAAAAGACTTCAACTAATAAACAAATACTATTGTTAACTGTAATAAAAGATTGTGTTACCTTCTCATTATTATTTCTAGAGATTATACTTACAAGTAATTATTATCAATGTTTCTTAAATGTTAAGAAATATAATTAATAAGAGGATTTGACTTGAAAGTAATAAAAAATAATAATAAATTAGCAAGAGAATAAAAATGAAGAAATCAAGTGGTAGTTATATGGATACTTGAGTTTTATCTTGTAATTATTTATATATATTTTTATTTAATTTTAAATAATTATAATTATCAATTATCTAATTGATTATTATTTCTAATGATCATGTAAAAATAACAATTTTTTCATATAAGTGTTATCTTAATAATCATAAATTATAACAATCAAATAAAAGTATTAAGATTTATTAAATTTGTTAAATTTAATTATCTAATTGAAAGCATAAGTGATATATTAATCCTCTTAATGTAACATCCTTAATTTTGTATTCAATTTATATAATAAATTATGACAAAATAAAATAAATATAATCATTTTTTCTTAAAACAAATAGTATGAAAATGTGATGGAATTAAAACTTTTTTGTAAATAAATTATTTCACGAAACTTTATAAAAATATTAAAAATAAAAAATGATAAATTATACCTTAATTATTAAATTTATATTGAAAACTATAACATCCCTATTCTTTTCTATTCATAAATTTTGATAAAATTTAAATAAAATAAATAACATTTTAGATTAATTAAGATTGTGTCATGTTGATTTAAATCTTAAAATCATTATTTACAGTATACTCTATCAAACTTTTTAAGTATCTAAATTTGACATCAAATTGTTTACATAGCAAAATTAATAACTTAATTAAAATTATTACAACCTTAATATAACTTAAATCTTAACAAAACAAATTCTTCCATGCAACACCACTAAAAATATGATCCTAAAATGAATCATATTTCATTTTAATTCTTGAAAAGTGGTTGTAAAGGTGAGTGTTTATTGCCCTACTAAATCCTTTATTTTATGAATAAAACAGTAATACAAAAATATTCTTATAGCAAAATAATACTAGTTTTTATATTATATTAATGAACTTACAACATATCAAACTTCATAACAAACATATCCTTAATATATCAAAACATACACTAAGACTATACCATTCATACATTCTTATATCAATCAATATGTCATAATATGTGAGTTCTAATCATATTAATCAATGCATTACAATACATGCATTATAATCATACTCGCTAATTTATTACAATACCTGTATTATAATCACACCAATCAATTTATTACAATAAACATATTATAATCACAAGATCACTGGATTATAACTTAGACATCATAAGTACACATTCATTACCCCTAGAATCTCTTGAGGTCTTCATAGTATAAACAGTTGGTGGATAGCCAGAGCAACACAAATATAATGTGTGCCGACCTAGCCCCTTTTAGCAAAAGTGTGGTCACGAGTATAGGTCAGGAAATGAGTGTTAGGGTTGTGACGCTTTCAGTCTCAATAGTTTGTGCACAATTTAAAAGAAAGCATTCACCACCTACATTTCCCCAAGTTTTTTCAAAATCGATTTCATTTTCTGTACTTCCAATGTATCTCTCTCACTATCTATACATATTTTCATCACTTTCTTGTGACACACCATTTTCTCAACAATTCTCTTTTCATGATTTCTTTTCACATCCAATCATTTTCACATTTTCTTAACAATTCAAACAACACTTTATACAAATTCATATTCTCAAATATTCACGCCAATAGTCATCTCAATTTTTTCTTACACATAATCAATTTCACATTCACAACAATATATAATCATAATACTGTTTTATTAAATTATAATTAAATCATAAAATAATTTTGCCAGAGGTCGAACACCTCTAGACTCAGTTCCAATCATACAGTTAAAACATATTGAAATTAAATCACATACTATAGTCATATTGTCGAAGATCACACTCTCTCAATCTTTAATAAAAATCTATCCTAAAGTTTAGTCTTTTACTTAGTACATATTGTTCAAGATAATAATTCACAATATCAACCATACATACAAAATAATTAATAGCAAAATCGTAGGAACTTCTTAAAACATGTTTTATTCATAATCCTTACTATGAAATTTTGCTTAGATAGTTTTGGAAATAAGTCATAGGTTTTCATGTCTAAAAATCCATTTTTCTAGCACTGTAGTTCTATGAAAACATTAAGGCTCTACTATCTACGATAGGAAAGTTTTAAGTTTTTAAACTAAAAACATGTAGATAGGATATAGGATTTGGGATCAACTCCCCTAACCTGGAAATAGATCTCTCACAACCAAAGGGAAGAGAGGTAGTGTTCTAAGACCAAGATCTCCTTAGGATTAAGAGGGAAGTGCAACATTTCGAAGGAGATATTGTCTAAAGACCAAGTTTCTCCTATATATTACGAAGTAAAGTACTTTTAAGAAAGGAGAAAATAAAGAAATAGAAGTGAGATTGAAAGATTGAACTCCAAGAAACATACTTGAGATCAAGAGGAAAAGATGTTAGAGCTCAAATTCAGAAGAAATTCAGGATTTAAGGAGGTTTTCTTTGAGGAAAGGAAGTGAGAGAACGAAGAAAGAAGGTTGAGAAAGGTTTCTTGGCTTTCAATACAAGTTTTATAATGAAAATCCTTTAAATATTCTTCAAAACTAGACAAAAATTGCTACTCTTGTGCTGGTATTTTCACTCGAGCGATAGTATTTTTGCTTGAGCGAAAACATGACGAAGAGCTACCTATTTCTGTCGCGAATTTTCGCTTGAACGAGAGTACAGATGAGAAAATCTGATCCGTTGTCACTTGAACATAAAATTTTCACTTGAGCTAAAAAAAATATTCTCCTGAACTAAAAGGAATATTCTCTCTATATATTTTTTTAGAAACTCTTCTATTTTGTAAACAAGAAAATGCAATTGAAAATTAGGGTGTTACACATAATTTTTGTACCCAAATTATTTCTTAATTCTATTAACCTATTAATTGTATGATCACCAATCAATTGATTAACTATGATTTATCATTGAGTAGATCAATCAATCAATAATAATAATAATAATAATAATAATAACAACAAAAAAGAAGTAACTATAATAAACAATTAACATCAATAGCATAAAATCAAATCAAAGCTCAAAAGGGTTACATCACAAGTATTCATGTCAATCTCGTGGTAAGAGGTGTTCAATTTTGCATAGTTATAACATTCAATACAAAAGAAACTAAACAAAAAATATAGTAATTCTAAATATACAAGAAAAAAAATTCTCTTAATACGTGAGAATACTATTTTGTTATAGAAAAAGTCTTTTTGAAATTCAGTAGAGATGACACTTAGAATGAAGGAGAACGATAGAATATTAGAGATTTGTAGAGTTTTGAGATGGAAGACTAAAGTTTTAATGCGCAGAGGAGAGAGAGCTCTTATCACCGTTCTTCCTCAAAATTAGATTTCAAATTCAAAAGGATAAAATTTATATCCAAATTCAAAATTAGATTTCAAATTTAAAATTCCTACTCAAAATTAAATTTCAAAATATAAATTTCAAATTTAAAGTCCACCCAATCTTTTTCTCATCTTAACAACTATTCTTCATGATTCGACCTATTTTAATCAAATTACATCATCATCACATTATACAATAACTATTTTAATGAAAAATAGGCTAAAATACTATAGATAAATGATAGAATGATGGTTTATCATTAGCTTATTTGCTAATTTTTCAAAATGCACCTTTAATGATAACCATTTACATTAATTTCTTAAAAAATAACATATAATGATTTTTTAAAAGAAATTACTATTAACCACTTATATTAATTTCTTTAAAATAGTAAATAGTTCTTTCCTAAAATTATATATGATGTGTACTGAATAAGACACTCCTCAGTCATTACAATAGAAAAAGGAAACTGAACTCTCTTTCGGCCTGACACTAGGATGAAGGGTATCCGCACCCTTTCGGCTTAATTAAAATAATTGAAAGATTAATAGTCAATAATCAAGAAGAAAAAGACTAATTACCTAAATAATAAAAATGCTAAAACAGGACTGATTCATGAAACCCA